GACGCTCTTTTTTACGCGGGGTTATTGAAAGAACTTTTGGGGTGTGGAAGAAGAAATGGGTTATCCTACGTGATATGTCCTCGTATCCATTTCCCAAACAAGTGCATATTGTGGTGGCTACTATAGCACTTCACAATTTCATCCAACAACATCCCTCTCGATCTGATATGCTGATGAAGATCAAATTATTGACTCTCCAGAACCTTCAGGATCTCTCGTTGTTCAATCATTACCTGAGGATGAGATCGAGTCGATTGAAATTGAAACTCAGGACGGTGAGGGTGCAACCGAGATGGCTACTTTGAGGGAGTCTATCGCAGTTGCTATATCTGGATGTTGATTCAGCCACGCTTTTTTATTTATTACATGTTCTTTTGGATGTATTTCAATGTAGTATGGATTTGAATTTTAAGGTTTTATTAAGAATTTCGCATCTTTATTTGGGATGTAATTCGTTATAGTATGGATTTGTATTTTGTTTTAAATTATTTATTTTGTTTTGCTTAGTTTTAGTTTTATTTTGTTTTGTTTAATTTTTGTTTAGTTTTTGTATGGATTTTCCTTTATTTTTATATATAAAGCTTAATTTAATTTTATGGTCTGACAGATTATATCTTTTGATTGTTTTATTTCACTAACAGTATGAGCTCGAGAATTTCAGGGACCACCCGAGTTGTGTTATGTTACTGCAGACTACCGGCTCCCTTACTCACATCACGCCAGCTGCTTAGCAATGGGAGACAGTTTTACGGTTGTCATAGGGGTGTTTCAGCAAGATGCAGTTTCTTCCGTTGGACCGACATTCCGACATACTCACATGCCGACAGTGATCGTGTTACGATGGTTTCCGAAGAGGACAGATAACGTCAAGTGTTTTAAATTGAACGTTTTAATATTTTTACTTGAATTATAATTGTATTTCTTCTTATTTTATTTGTTTTGATACTCACGAAGTGATGAGCAATGTATTTTAATTTTTGTACTTGAACTGTAATATTTTGAGATATCTATTTTATCTATTATTTTCCATAAATAATCTGTTGTGAAACTGCTTAACCAAACAGGGGCAGAATAGTCATTTATTCAACATCTCTCAGTAAGTTGTTCTGAATAAGCTGCCTCATTGTTCTGAATAAGCTGCCTGAATAAGCTGCCTCAAACAGCAAACCAGCTTATTCTGATAATCTGCAGATTATCAGAATAATCTGCTTATCAGCAGATAATAAATAATCAACAGCTGCCCCAAACATACCCTTAGTTTTATGCTTCTCTTTTAAATGTCAACATTCTGCATCATAAAATATTGCTAGTCTCACCACCATCTTATAAAATTTTTCTTTAACTCTAAGTGGTACATTTCTATCACAAAATAGGCATGATGCATTCCTCCACTACAACCAACCAACTTAAATTCTATTAATTATAACATCCCTATCTATATCACCATCACTTTGAACAATAGACCGAATTTGAACAATAGACCTGAGATATCTAAAACGTTCACACCTTTTAATGATTTGATCACCCATAGTTACAGCTCTGTCAGTAGAGTTAATACTACTAAAATTACATTCCATGTAATCAATTTTAGGTCTATTCAAATGAAAGCCTTTAGACTCCAATGTAGACCTCCATAATCCATATAATTTTACTTATTTATTCTTATCCACAAGAAAGCTATCATCAGCGAAAAGCATAAACTAAGGTGCATCCACCTATAAATGTCCAGTAAGAGCATCCATAACTAAAGCTAAAGGATATGGGCTTAAAGTTTATCCCTGGTGTAATCCAACTGAGATAGAAAAATACTTGGTCAATCCTCCTTATATTTGAACATAAGTAACAGCTCTAGTAAACATATCTTTAATGACTTGAATATAAGTCATATCAGCACCTTTCTTTTCTAGGACTCTCTAAAGAACTTCTCTTGGAACTTTATCATAAACTTTTCTAAATCACTCAAAATCATCTGTAGATCCTCACTACTCTCAATACTTCTCCATCAGACCTCTCA